TCCTCCTCCTCCTCCTCCTCCTCCTCCCCCTGCTGCTGTTGCTGCTTAAATGCTGCTTAATGATGGGTCAGGTGTGGATTTGTGCGGGTAGTCAACATTGCTGCTAGGAAATGTGTGCTGCTGAAGCCATTGGTATGGGATATGAGAAGAAGAATTCGAGCAAAAAGCAAAAGCGTTCAACACAGAGACCGCATTTCGCTATAGTGTCCATCAGCTACGCTGATCACGCCAACTAGGTCGCGTTCCAGTATTCTCTGTATGCTGATCTGCGTTCCTTGAACTGATGATACTCGGGAGACATCAAATTGAGGTAGTTTCCGGGGTAACCGGCTTCTTTCAAGGCACGTAGAAACGTGTCAAACCGTGCTTTCAATACTTCAGTAGCTTCAAGGCGGTCGGAGGCTTCGGTAGCGTGTTGCTCCAGAACTTGAATAGTTGGAGTGTAGTCTTAACGTACTTAAGGTCAGTACATGACTTAAATGATGGATGCAGAAATTGCAATTGAGATAGGGTGGACTTGTTCATCAAGACTTACTGATGATCTCCGCTATATTTGGCTCAACACCATAGAGACATCGGAATGTGTCAGTATCATATCGTGGCGGATGCACTATGCCATCTTCATCAATGTACCGGCCTTCTTCCCGGTATAAGCATCCGCATTGGGATGGCCGCCGTGCGCTTTCGCGTGTCCTTGGCTGATAATTCTTTGATTATCGGCCATGTGGTCATCGGTAGCTGGAAAGAAATCTTCCTCGGATCTTAGCAAATCCAAGGGTATACTCAACACTCATTCTCTGGCCAGTTTCGTCTCTAGGATAGGTAGTCTTGCGTTCTGGCGAGCCAACTCGACACCGGCGTTATTTCCTGTTATCATCTCGTCTTTCACAGCTTCCACGCGCATTTCATCGACTTCAAGGAATTCAGAGGTTCAATATTGATTTTCGACAACATTACAGCAGTTGCTCGTTCGTCTGTGTAGATCTCAAAGTCAGCAGGAGCAGGGCCTTTTGATTTCTTGGAGCGTTTTTCTTTGTGAAGGGGGAGAAAGTGGATAAACGGGAAGTATGAGTAGAGTAGGCGTAGTGGAAGTACCCAAGCAGAAAGAATTAAGCTTCTTGATATGTTCCACTTGAACTTCACTATTTCCTCACTGAACAAATTACCTAGCACAGCTCAAAAGAAATGAAAAACTCATAATAGAGTGACATGCCTGTAAGCCTTCCGGTAGGCCAAGCCTGATCCAAGGGCTTAATCATTTCATGTTTTAGCCTTGGGGAGTACTGCGTGAGACGACATGGTTCCAGAGGACAGAGAAGAAGGACGAAAGGGGGAAGAGAAAACTGAAGTTTGCAATCACCATTCACTGTACATTCACTTGCTGTGTTACTACTTTACTTGCTCGGAAACACAGAGCTTTCCGTACTATTTCATCAGATCCCCGTCAGTACCTACGTAGGTACACCATAATGCAGACATCATCTACTTACCTCCCGGTACATATATTTCACCCCTAGGTCACATTCTCACCTTACTACTTCCTTTATTCAAAGCTCATAACCATACTTTTTACGACGTGCTATTCTCCAGCGTTTCTTAACCCACGCCTTCAAGAACGGCAGTACCCCATCGGAGCGACACCTTCCCAAGACGCAGTGTCAACGTGCTTTCCCAAACAACCTTTCTACCGCGGCTTCCCAGTCAACAAGTAAATCTTGGGCCCGAGTCTCAAATGGTTGCTGCTACAAAGCGGTCGCTTTCTGAATTCCTTGAAGGCGATGAACTGTTCGTGGAAGCTGAGAGAGACGAGATGATAACAGACATACACTCAAAACTTGATCAGCTCCGCAAGGATGTTGAAAAGCTTGGAGCGGAACTGGCCGGAACTAAACAAAGACTGGCCGGAACTGAACAAAGACTGGCCGGAACTGAAGAAAGACTGGCCGGAACTGAACAAAGACTGGCCGGAACTGAAGAAAGACTGGCCGGAACTGAAGAAAGACTGGCCGGCCGGAACTGAACAAAAACTGTTCGAATCTCAACGTACCGGCAGTGTTTGCGATTTGCATACTGAGAATCAGCACGAAGGCAGCATTGTATGGCCCGGTCAAGTTGTAGCAAATCAAGCGGCCGACTTTGACATGCGGTGGCACGAAGTGTAGCCCGAAGGCTCCTGCAATGTTCAGGAGGAGGAAGATCACGATGAAGACGCAATGCCTGTTTTCGAAGCGGTCGTTGAGGTACACGCAGAGAAGGATGGAGAGTGCGATAATCGCTCCGTAAGGGATCTATTCTGTTAATGTTCAGGTAAAACGTCTCTTTGAAGGACTTCCATACCTGCATCAAGGTTGTCACGAGCGTCGAGAAACCGAAACCTTCATCGTAATGTATGGATATTTCTAAAACATATGGTTCTTACCACAATGCTAATTTGTCTTCGTCAGTGGCTCTCTTTATGCTGCCTGGGGAATCGTCATGTTCATTCTCCTGCCTGACTCGCGAGTTACTGCGCCGCTTCTCACCAAGCGGCAGCGCCGAATTGCCATCGAAAGAATAAGGGAAAACCAGACAGATATTTAAAAACAAGTATATCATGCCACACCAGATTTGGGACGCAATTACAGACTACAAGCTCTACATCTTCTTTTTCCTGGATGTATTTTGTGAGTGACGACTTTGTAGCATACAAAAGTTGGTAACGCTAATTTCTCATTAACAGGCAACATTCCCAACGGTGGTATCTCGAACTTTGGAACTATCATAATTCAGTTCGGGCAGCAGGCGCGCGCACAATTCAGCATTGGTTTCGCCGATACCTTTGTGTTTCTCTATGGGGTTGATCCTATCCTTGCTAAGAATATCGGTAAGTTTTGATATATTATATCTGCCTGATCTCTATTAACATTCCTGTATTTCCTATTTTGTTTATCCAGGGGCTGACCTTACCTACATTAAGACTACATTCCGACAATCAATGTAATAGAAAGACATGCTACAGTTAAGGCCTCTGAGAAGAGAATAGGAATTGACTTATTTGAGGAACGGTTCTACAAATTTCTAGATGCCTTGGATTCAGCTGGGTATGCAGGTGATTACTTGGATTCCATGCAAGCAGATGCTCAGCTTAATGAACTCCATAAAGCATATAAGGATTTCTGGGTTGCTAGCAGATTGGTGCGATGACAGCATTGGCAGGCTTGAAACGATGACGTGAACTGCGTGAGACCAAGATGGCTGTGGCTTTGATTCTTTTCTTTCTACTCGGATGCTTTAGTGCTTTTTTGTATTATAAAGAGACATCAATTGTATTCTCCTTGAAATGGATCTAGTTGACTACCCTCCATCCTTCAACAAGACAGACGGACCCTCGCATTGACTGCTGATGCAATCAGTCAATGAACCATCGCAACAACTGCGTACGTATCCTTAGCAGCAGAGTCTACTGCAAGCAATTCCATATCTCGTCATTAAGCTGCACTAACTTTCGCAAAAACAACATCAAGCACTTTGACCGCCGTATCCACGATGATATCGATCTCCTCCTTGGAGATATTATACGGCGGCGCCAGAATGATATGGTCCCCTTTCATACAATCCACCGTCCCGTTAGCAGCATACAACGACACCCCATACTCCGGTTTCAACCCGGTCTCTTGGATCAGAAACGCCACGCCCTTGTCCGGACTGAATGGTTCTTTGGTCTCTTTGTCTTTCACGAATTCGATCTGCAGACACAAGGCACATTAGTCTTCATCCGATCCGATCCTCAGAGGACAAAAGATCGTGGAACAAGGGGAATTACTTACACCCCAGAACAGCCCCTTCCCTCGGATTTCACCCACAATAGGATGTTGCTCTAAGCTGCCCCGCAGGCGTTCCTCAAGATACTTCCCCATGTTCCTGACATTCTCGAGCAGGTTATCCCGCTTGATGACCTTCTGCACGGCCAATGCGGCAGCACATGCGATAGGATGGCCCTGGTACGTTTGACCGTGTCGGAACACTCCGGTGCCTTTGTCGAGAACCCCGACGATCTTCTCGCTGATGAGGAGACCAGAGACGGGCGCGTATCCGCCTCCTAGTCCCTTGCCGATGGTCTGGATATCGGGAACTACGTCTTCTTGTTCCCAGGCATGGAGGGTGCCGCAGCGTCCCATACCGCACATGATTTCGTCTAGAATGAAGAGCGCGCCATACTTCTCGCAAATTGCTTTCATGGCGGGGAAGTAGCCTGGGAGGGCGGGGACGGCGCCGAGGGCCTATTTCGTTGGTTGGTTGCGTTAGTTGTTGTACTAAAACGAGATTATAGTAGATAATAAACATGAAATTTCTAAGGAATGTTCACGTACCGCTCCTACTACCGGCTCTGCAATGAAAGCGCACACATTCTCTGGTCCGACACGCTGGAATTCCGCGTCTAGCTCTGCTGCTAGCCGGGCAACGTAATCCGCGTCGGACTCGCCTGCTTTCTTACCTCGGTAGGGGTAGCAAGGCGAGACGTGAGACGTGTTGGTTGATAGAATGGGTTCAAAAGGCTCTCGACGGATCATGTGTCCGCCTACTGACAAGGCACCCAAGGTGACGCCATGGTAGGAGGGCTTCCGGGCAATGAACCTGGATCGCTGTAGTTGGGGGGTGGGTAGCTCAACGAAGTATTGACGAGCTAGTTTCAATGCAGCCTCGACAGCCTCAGAGCCTGAGATAATGTGAGTATTTCTCTGGCGATATCGTGCAGAGTAAGTGTGTTAACATACCGGAATTCACAACGAGCAACTTCGAGAGCTTGCCACCAGTCGACTCGGTAAGGAAGGTAGCAAGCTCTTCCGATGCTTCTGTCCCAAAGAATGCCGTATGGCAGTATGACAACTTGTTGATCTGGTCAATCACCGCTTGGCTGACCTCCTCATGGCCATGGCCTAGGCAGGATACGGCGGCACCACCGGTCGAGTCGAGGAACTTGGTGCCATCCTCGAGGAAGATGTAGCTGCCTTTACCGCCGATAGCTTTCTTGGGGACGAAGCGGGTATCACGGTGGAGGACGGAGCTATGGGTGGCTGTCTCTGGCCTTTCGTGAGCTGGGAACAAGGGATTAAGATTGTCTGGTATACTACTAGTTAGAACGTACCTGACTTGGTCATGGTTGAACAGGATATAGATAGCCGTTTGAGTAGATCAAATGTATATTGAGTGCATAGAGCTGGATGAATAATTCTGGAGCCATGATTGCAGCATGATGCAGAGCTATTTATGCCTGCGATAAGCCCTGTCGACTGCTCCTTCTTCTTGATATCACGCAGTGACTCAAGATGTGGGGAGGAGCGGGGATGGAGTCCGGCGGGGAGCCGGCAACCCAATCCTGGGAAGCCGAGCGCATGGTTGGCCGTCTCCGCCGACGGGCCGATCTCCGACCTGATGGTGGTTATCGTGCTCGTTTGAGTCGTCCATCTCTCCATCATCTACTGCTGATGCGGAGATGAGCAACCTCCCTCGCTTAAGGTGATGCAACATCTTGGCTTTGTTAATGATGGACCATGAAGGGGTCGCACTGCGACAACTTGTTGCTACACCATGCCTTCGAGTGGACATCAACTTAGTATAGTACGTCAATGAGAATGTCTCTACATGTCGTGTCAGCTTATATGTAAGCTACTAGTAGGGATTCGTTCGATATGTCAATCAGGACTCTATCGCTGGACGTTCCATGGTAATGAGTTCCATCCTGGCTTGGTGCCCTACGATGCCCTCTATGCTGAAGTCGACCCTTTTCTGGGATATCTCTTCCATCGTCAACCCTAATTAGTATCCAGGCAGAACTGCGGGAGTCGTAGAGGTAGAGAGCTGGTCTAACACATTGCAACCCTTGAGTCCCAGATAGGCGATGTGGGAAGTAAAGCTCGGCGTACAGGACCTATTAGAGCGACAATGTCAAGGCTAATCATGTGCGTCATCTGCAGCAAACAAAGGTAAGGTTTGTACGGTACATAATAGAGCAGTTGTTCAGAAGCAAATCAAGGGCTGCATGTAGTAGTAGTGATGGGTATCTCCGCTGCGATGCGGGCGGTGGGCGGACAAAGCTCTCCGCTCCGCAGTTGGTTGGCCACTAAAACTCCCTACCGCACAGAAAGGCCACCACGGCTTCACTACAACAGCCCACCTGCTCAACCTTCCGCTCCGGACACATTAGCGTGTCTTAATCTTATACATATTTTTCTACGCTGTTATTATTACCTATACTGAGTCTTAATCATGTCACGACACGCCCAAGTAGAGGAGGTGTACGACTCTGACCCGGAGGAAGTTGCTCCCTCCGATTCCTCGCCCGCCAACTTCGCCAATGAGTCCATCCTTTCTGGAGCTGGAGTACCTATGTCCGGCTCAGTACCCATGAGGCCCGCTCCTGAACCCCAGCGCGAGATCCCCAAGCATTATCAATGCCTGTACCCGATATACTTCGACAAGTCGCGGTCCCGCGCGGAGGGCCGCAAGGTTGGAAGTGAGCTGGCGGTTGAGAACCCGTTAGCGAGGGACATTGTCGATGCGGTGCAGATGTTGGGACTGAATGTCGGATTCGAGCCTGAGAAGCTGCATCCCAAGGACTGGGCCAACCCTGGACGTGTGCGTGTCTTGCTGAAGAACGAGGACGGGAAGCTAGTCAACTCGAGAATCAAAAACAGTCAGTGTACCCCAACCTGTTCGCAGGTTACTATTAGAGTCGACCCCCTTTCAAATGGCCTGATCACAGTTTCCTTTGTCTGACCATGACTACAGAGCACCACCTTTACATCCTCGTGGCGCAATACCTTAAGGCCCACCCTACCACCGAAGAATCCCCCTACCGTCTCAGAATCCGAGGACTCCCCATGCCCGAGAAACTACCTGCTGCGCCCGCCGCTCCCCGTGGATGGAAGATTGGAAAGATTCTACCGATACACTCTCCGGCCTACAGCGGTGGTGGAGTCAGCGATAACCCGCTCAAGGACGCCATGGCTGAGATGCAGAACATGCAGGGTATGCCCGGCATGCCCCAGATACCTGGAATGCCGGATCTGGCGGGAATGATGGGAGGAATGGGGGGAATGGGAGGCATGGGTGGAAGTCCGTCTGCTGGAGGTAGCGAAAAGAAGAAGAAGGATAAGAAGAAGGGCAAGGCGTGAAGCACTTGTCGATGTTTCTTCATGTGGTACATAGGCTTTTGATTGCATTGGCACGGGCGAAAGGCGTTATGATGATTCATGTATAGAGGGCATCTCTGCTGTTCTCTTGATACCAAGTCGAATGAAATGATCAATGAGTGGGGACATGTCTGGTTTGTGGTATTGATGTAGCTGTCAGGTGCCATCTTCCGTCTCCGCAGCGGATGGCAGCCGTCGCTTCTCTACTTTATTCTGCGGAGATCATTCCCAAAAAATTTATTGCGTACCTAGACCATGCTCTGCAAGACCTCACACCTCTCAGTAAATAATCATGGGTCAATCCAAAGCACTCCGAGTTTCTCGGGAGGACCATCCGACCGTCTTGCGTATATGGTCGCTGTCATTGGCCGAGCCGGCGCAATCGCCGATAAGTAGAACCGCGGCCTCTTTTACCCCAGAGTCATCCTCCGCCGCTGTTCCTCTCAGCTTCAGCTTCAATCACTGCGCGGATGCTTCCGTTTTATTTTTCCAACAAGCGCACAATTGTTCGATCGGCACCCGAGTAGTCGCGACTCACATACATGGGTTGACACTCATGTGCACTCCCTCATGAACCACTCCCTGCGTCCTGTCGATGGATCATAGAACCCCGCCACTGCGACCGACGGACCATGAATACAAGCCCACCGAACATTCTGCCCGGCTACGGGCAGATGAACGGAACCCCCCGATCCCAATTTCGCTCTAGCTATGACTCCCCTGCCTCGGGCTCTTCGTCTTCTGCTGCTCCTAAGACTGGGAAGGCTGGGGGCCGTCAAATCACCCGCAATCGCGCCAGCTACAGCTGCCACACTTGTCGGAGGCGAAAGGTCAAATGCGACAAGGTGCATAGCCCTAGACTGTTTGTGAGTCTTGAACTGGTCTGACAAGCAAATTTACAGGTCCACCCGATTTGCGGCAACTGCGTGAAAAACGGTACCGAATGCGTCTACGATGCGGCGCCACAGAAGGATACGGAGTCGCGCTCGAGCATATCGAAGAACGGACATGGCGTCAAGCGGAGGAGGGAGTCGTCGCGACCTATAGAGGAGGATATCGATGATATACAATCTATTTACGGTCATCTGAAGCAAAGTGGAGCTTCCGAACAACGGTCGCAAGCCATTGAGGCGCGTTTGGATAAACTCACCTCGATGATCGAGAGGCTGAGCAAGACGAATCAGCCGCCGGATGTCGCAGGAAAGCAACGGCTGGCACCAAATGTGAAACTCGAGCCGGCTGAGGGTGATCCTCGTTTGAGCAATATTGCGGCCTTAAAGCCAACTGCTGGTTCCCGTCCGGATAGTCCGCGTCGCGCGGCTGAGTCTAGTGGCGACGAATTTCCTATCCCCGCGGGCCATGCTACTGATCTGGTGGATCCTGTGGGGAGCTTGAATCTTGGCCATTTGAGCTTGGAGGATGGAGGGCGATCAAGGTACGGTTTTGTTATGTGGTCGGGAGGGCTCTATACTGACAATGGGTCAGATACGTCGGGACGACTTATTGGGCTTATATTTCTCATGAGGTATGCTGAAGAAGTTCCCAGCCTTTCATTGAAGGACTATGCTAAGTACCACTAGATAAATGAGCTCAATCAGTTGCTCAGGGATCAGAATCGATCGCACAACGAACCAGCCTTCCATGAGAGCCCCGTTGACGATGCGGGAACGGAACCTATGGTTACAACACCGGGACGCCAGTGGAAAGAGTCTGCTGACGGTGTCAGCGAGCCTGCCGAGAAGCTTAGCAGAGTACAGACATTCCAGAAGTCTGTTTTGTTTCCGTCAAGCGAATCGCCTTCTGTGAATGACAAGATAGTGGAGCCAGAGATGCTTGAGAACATGCCGACAAAACGACAGAGCCATATCCTGTACAAAGGATTTATGTCTGGAATACACGCCATTACCCCAGTTGTGCACCCACCTACCATTCTGAAGCTTTACAACTCCTTCTGGGATTGGTATGATTCAAGTAGCTACTCTGGGGAGTCTTGCCCTGACCCATCCTTTATCCCTTTGCTTTATGCCATCTGGTATGGCGGTTCCGTCACTGTCTCAATACGAACAATCAAGGCTGAGTTCAACGTGTCATCCCGCTCAGGTCTGTCCAAGGCATACAGTGAGGAGGTAACGCGCTGGCTATCCAAGATATCGTTCCCTCGCAGTCCGTCCATGCAAGGTTTATCTGCATATCTGCTGGTCCAGACCATCCTTTCCAAGGAGGAAGAGCCTCTGACTAGTAGTCTCTTCATCAGTCTTGCCATGAGGGTGGCCCAGACTATGGGTTTGCATCGGGATCCTGCTAAGTTCGGCATTGGCCCCAGCGACGCGGAATACCGTCGCCGTATATGGTGGCACATTGTACACATGGACGGCGTGGTGGCCATGTCCAGCGGGTTGCCTCCCCTGGTCAGTGATGAGAACTACTGGGATGTTCGCGAGACCAGCGAGGTTAAAGACACGCTTCTTGGAACTCCCGCTGCTGAGAAGTATGAGAGGCTTGTCATGACCGGCATGAGGCCACCGGATAACCCGGATGACCCAACCGTATGTGCAGGACCTTCTATGGTTAACGTATACTACCTATCGGCCAAGGGCAAGTATACGATGGCTCGTAAGTATCTGAAGTAAACATCTATAGGTTTTGAGATCTAACAACCCTGCAGGCGCTGTTCGCCGGATCATGAAGATTCAGCTTGGTACAAAACCCGTCACGCGAAGGGACATGGAGGAGCTGAGGTCTATATTGGTTGATCTGCAATACAAGCTGAACTCTATCATCAACCGGATACCAGAAGCAAACTCGCTCGATACTTCGTCTCCAGTGTCATCTACTAGATCATGGTCTTTATCCTCACAAGCAGATTCCCGCACCGAACTGCCGGCGGATGGACCCAATGGATGTGCAGAGCAGTACCATTCGCCTGTCCTTGTATCTTTCCACAAGTGGGCTAGGATCCTCATGTCTCTTTTCATCGATAAAGTGGGTGTACCCTGAGATGTACTGAGATACCTGCTAACCCTGATAGGCCTTTTGCGTCGCCTATCAGCCTTTCCTGAAGAACGCCAAAAGTCGAATTTGGCCGGCTGCAAGACAGAGGTATCGTCCAACATCGCCACACAGAAACAAGACACAAACCACTGACAAACCACAGCGCACTCCGCCACTGTCACGGCTTCATGGAGAAGTTCGTCTCACTCGCAACTGACCCCGACTTCCAACCTTTCCAATGGAGTTGGCCCGGCAATCACCAACCAATGCACGCGACCATGATCATGCTCATCGACCTCTACGAACGACCCTACAGCCCAGAGGCACCCAAATCCCGCGCCTACATCGACAAGATCTTCTCCATGACAGGCCCCGACGGCGGCGTCGTCGGCGGCGAAGACGGCATCTCAACCCAACGACCCCTGAAAGACGGCGGCCGCGAAGCATGGGACATGATCCGACGCCTACGCCAAAAAGCATGGCAAAAAGCCGGCCTGGATCCTCATAGACTATGGTCCGAACAAGCCCAGATCCAAGCAGGCGTCACCTCTCTCCCCGAAGATTACGCCAACAACGACCCCTGCTACACCAGCGGCAGTCCCTCCCCCTCAACCTACCATCCTCCTTCCGCCGTTACCACCCGCCGCCAACTCACCGACTTCTCCAAAATGTTCTACAACATGACTCGCTCCCACCAGCTCCCCAACCCAGCTACCACTAATAACAACTCCCGTCCAAGCCCTCTCCGCTATCAACTCCCTCCTCCAGCCCCTGCTCCTATCCTCCCAAGCCCGCAATCAAGAACCGCTCCCGTTCCTCCTCCATTCCCTCAATCCCCAACACCCCCCAAACACCCCATGGACACTACCACCTCCCCCCTCGCCAGCAACTCCCCCATCTCATCCCCCGAAAGCATCGCCCCCTTGAACCCTAACATCTTCGCCAGCACCTTCAACAACACCCCGCAGCCGCAACAAGCACCACAACTACCAACTAATACCCCTCCTCCTGGTCCTATACAAGCAGCTCCTCTTCCATCTTTCATGGACACAGCCATCTCACCCACCAGCCAACCCATCCCGGGGGCCCCCACACCGCCCTCCATGGTGGATCCGAACTTAAACTTCGATTGGGACCAGTGGGACGCTGTCTTCGGGCAGCATCTGCCGGTGGCGGATGAGTTGATGGAGTTGGATCCGGTCACGGGTTTCGAGTTTGGGGATTTGAGCAGTGCGGCTTATGCTAATGCTGCTGCTTCGCCTTCGAGGATGGGGCTTGGTGGTGGTGTGGGGAGGGGTAGTTTTGGGAGTGTTGGTAGTGGTAGTGGTGGTGGTAATGAGGTTGGGATGGGGGAGGTGAGGGGGTCTGATTGGGTGGGTTATTGTTGATTTACTTAGTAAGTACTTAATGTATGTCTAATTGGAGGTGTTTGGTTGGTTGGTTGGAGGGTATAAATTTAGTTCTCGATTATTGTGTATATAGCGGTTCTGTTGTTCTACTTTTTGATTGAACTCATCCTTGTGGGTGAGATCTACGGTGATACAACTGGATTCAGTGTCTTGAGGTTGGAAGATGATTATGTGTCAAACGGAAGAACCGCTAGACGATGGAATAATATGTGATCAGAAATAAAAGAAGACGTAACAGTTATGGATTTCATGAGGCGTGACTTTAATCAAGAAGGACGCAGAAGATATGCGACGCAGGAGCATGATGTGATATCAAGATGCGAAGGGAAAGATAATTAGCAATAGCCAGAAGGGACGCGTTAGCGGGAACCCAGGAGTCCAAACTCCTGGACAGCTAATTTCCGGGGACCCTTGGTTGCTCGTATTAAGAGATCGCATTTTCAGTGTCTCTTCTCTTTCTTTTTCAATTCATGACAACAATTATTCGCATGACTGCAGTGTCTGAATTTAGACCTTGACCTCCTGGAGACCGTGCTTCCAGAGGGTAGCGAAGGGGGTGACACCGTCCTCACGGAAGTCAATCAGGATGTGCCTGGTTCGGTAAGTTAGTTTTAGTTGCAACCAGAAGATGGATGGCAGAATAAACGTACATAGCATCACCGTCCATGGACTGACCCATCATAACATCGTAGTTGTCGTAGTTGCCAAGGATCTTCTTGACAGCACCGGCGGCACCAGCCTTGAACTCATCGATGTTCTCCTTGGAAGCACCGGTCTCGGTGAGCCTGGCAAGGACCTTCTTGACGTAGCCTGTACAGGGTAGACTCGTTAGCATTGGGGTGAAATAACTGAACCGTATCTCAGAAGTGCGAGAACATACTCTTGAGGTGACCCTTGAAGGCATCCTTGGAGGGCTTCAGGCCCTCCTCGGTCTTGAGCCAGTTGAGACGGAACTGGTCCTCGATGTCGTGGACCATGACGGCCTCACCCTCACCACCGGCATCATCATCACCGCCCTCAGCGGAGGGGTTGGCACCCTCGAGCTGGAAGTCCTCGTTGCTCTTCTTGAGGTACTTGCGGCAGTCGCAGGTCCAGAGGAGCTTGCTCTCGGGGTCCTCCTGGATCTTGTAGGTGTCGGCGAGAACCTCGTCGCCGGAGACGATATCCTATAAGGACGGACGTCAGTAATTTGGAGGCATGCAATTTCAAATGCGAGGATATGATGATGATAATGATGATGATGATGAAAATGGTTGCAGGTAAGGAAGCAGAGGAGACGCAACAAGGCTGCAGGATTGATGCAACCGTTTGTTGTTCTTTTCACGCATCCTTGCATTGCTGGAGGATCGCAACAAGGACAGAGGTAGACTCAGAAGGGTATACGAACCGTGTAAATGATCATTTTGGCGGGTGTATGAAGAAGTGGACGAAGTCACAGGAGGAGAGAAGTGGCAGGTGAGGAGAGAGAGACGGAGGGAAGAGGAGAAGAAGGGGAAGGAGGGGAAAAATGAAGATTAATATTTAGTGGCGCTTTTCCTTTCCAGTTTCTCGTGGTGGGGTTTTTTTCACGGTCGATTTTCCGTCGCTCGAGGGGCACCGCTTGCCGCTAGTCCTGTTTGGGTCTGGTCGACTCGTCTGGCCCAAAAAGAAAGATCCCAATCATCTTTTTTTTTTGTTGTCTTTTTTCGTCCATTGCCCCGATGGCAAATTCTGACAGGCGATGAGGGGAAAAAAAATTGAGGCAAAAAAGAAAATGAAGGACAAGGTTGTGAGTCCAGACTACGGCGGCATCAATCCTTTTCTTTAAGGAAATTGGTTTTACTCTGTAGTAGTTAGATGTTGGGGTAGTATTATTCTAGCTCGGCTGACATGTCAGTTACTCAGTTGGGCTCCAGCATCCGATCTTCCCACTCCAGATATCCTCATGCCTGAGGCATAATTACTGTGGCTAAGGGGTCTTCTGTCGGGTAACATACAGTGGTATATTACTGATACATAACAATAATCTTTCACAGTAACATCATACTGAATCGTGGTATCATATAATGTAATACATACTAGTACAATATCGTGCAGCTATCGGTCGGCCTCACGATCCCGTGGCGCCACTCCTGCTTGCCAATTCCACCCGTGATTTTTCTCTCCGTCTTGACCTTCCAACTCGCGGTAGACACTCCTTTGGCCGCCCTTCGACTATTGTTATCTTTTTCCTCCCGGTGCTGGATTCCTTGACTACTGCTACAGTCGATGGTAATCTGAACCTCGCGGTCATTCTTTTTGAACCCTCCCTTCTAATTAATCCCTCACCACTACCCCATCGGTTCCTCGGCACTTGGTGCCATTTGCGTCCCCTGATTTTGGTGGGCCTTGGAGACCTGACCAGGATCCCCGATCAGATATCTCGCCATCGCCGGTCCATAATCATTGCGTTGTCCCACGGGCCCTTAAATCTCCTGCTATATCTTTGGCCTGCGCCAGGAACCTCTCACTGCCCTACTTGCATCCGACTGTGATTGCGATCTCATTTCTCTTTCATTCGAATCTCCTTTCCACCTTTGATCTCCGCGACCGATGCGGTAGGTCTGTCGAACAACCTTTCTCAATTCTTGACTTGGATAGTCCTGGCGATCGATCGTCCTCATCCCATCATGGCTACCAACGCGTCGGTCGTCTTTGACCTCCCCCCTCTTCCGACCTATACCTTGACTCCCCGCCCACCGGTTCTTGCTCCGATCCCAGACAATATCCTCGCTTTGATCTTACCCATCGTTGCTTACTGGGCCTTGTCCATGGTATATCACTTTATCGATGTCAACGATTACTTCCCTCAATACCGCCTACACACCCCCGCTGAGGTGCTGAAACGAAACCGAGTCACGCGCTGGGAAGTAGTGAGAGATGTTCTGCTCCAGCAAGTAGTCCAGACAATCGCGGGCATGGCAGTGAGCTATTTGGATGAGCCCGAATGTCTGGGTAAAGAAGCATATGATGTGGCAGTTTGGGCTCGCCGTCTTCGCCTCATGCAAAGGGGCCTGCCTCACCTGCTGGCTCTCTTTGGTATTGATGCTATGGGTTTGGGGAAGAATTTGTCGCATAAGGGCTGGGGAATGCTTGGAGGCGCCATTGCAGGCGGGCATTACCCACAATTTACCCAGTCCCTTATTCTGGAGAGTGGCGCAGAAGCGGTGGTCCCTGCTTTCACCAGCTGGGAACTTTCTACGGCTGGTTTCATCTACTGGTTCTTCGTCCCCGCGTTGCAGTTCATCTGGGGCGTTTGCGTCGTCGATACCTGGCAGTACTTCCTTCACCGCGCGATGCATTTAAATCGGTGGCTCTATGGTAAGTCATAGTTTCTTCGAGTCATTCCGGCTTTGGGCAATCGATTGACAGTCTCCAGTGACCTTCCACTCCCGCCACCATCGCTTATACGTTCCCTATGCTTTCGGCGCTCTCTACAACCATCCCGTTGAAGGATTCCTTCTCGATACTGCTGGCACTGGCGTCGCATTCTTGACAGCCCGGATGTCGACTCGCCAGAGCATGTGGTTCTTCACCTTTTCCACCATCAAAACGGTTGACGATCACTGCGGCTATGCTTTCCCCTGGGATCCGCTGCAGCATTTCACATCCAACAATGCCGCTTACCATGACATTCACCACCAAAGCTGGGGAATCAAGACGAACTTTTCGCAGCCTTTCTTCACAATCTGGGATCGTTGGTTCGGTACTCAGTGGAAGGGCGATGTGAAGTTACGTTACGAACGTTCTCGTGAATCTGCTCAGAAGCAGCTTGACAACGATGCTAGCTCCGCCACCAATTCGGGTGCTGATACTCCGGCATCCGGAAGTGTCACTCCTGCAGCTGTTCCCCAAGAAGGACCGGCAGAGTCCACTCGCTCTCGCCGCAGAAAGACCGTCACGCTTTCCCCTCATGTCGATGGTTTTCGAAGCGTAAACCACCCCGTCGCCAGCAGCGTCCTATAGTCAATTCTTTTTGCCTTCATAATTCGTTGTAATAATTCTTTCACCTTTTGTCTTCGCCGCCCAGCGGGGGTCTTTGGAGTTGCGGGACGCCTCCTACTTCCTACTTCGCTGTCTGTTCACTGCATTATTCTTTACGCTGTATTAATAGCCAGGTTGATGAGAGCCTGCTACGGACCTGTACAATGTCTTTTCACCCACCTACCTACTGTTCGGGTTATCTACTAATCGGGCATCCTGCATGACCACGGAGATTTGGAAATTGACGAGCACTTCCCTTCTGTTCATTCCACTCAATTCTTGTCTTTACGAAATAATCTGTATAAACTCCACTTCTACCACATTCTAATGACTTACAGCAAACTGAGTAATCGCGGATTATGGGTGCGCCTGAAATAACGTTATATGAACATGGAGCAAATTTCAGCAACTCGCGTGACACGATCATGACGACGTTCTGAACCTCAAGAAGTTCTGGGGCAGGCGGCTCCCATGCACAGGTGCAACATGTCTGGGCGCTGCAAACTTCACCGATTTCTTCCCTGGCGTATCAGGCATGAGTCGAGGGATTGCCGATCCATTGCTCTTGGCCTCCACCTGCAATCTGTCGCTACTTCTGCGAGCCTCCTCAATAATAGAAAGTATGGGTTCATCGTCACCGAGGCGCGATCGAATATCAGTCGCTTGGTCTGTATTGGATGATCCAGTCGCAACTGTGGGCGGACAATAGGCCGTGCTATTCAAGCTGTTGGCACCTACAACCGGAGGCTCTTGTGACCCAACACCGTTTAGGTTAGAATGGTAGCTGGGTGCAGGCGTCATGTCCGTTTCTTCGCCGTTGATGCTCGGGTCCTCCCATAGACAATCACTGACTTCCGCCTCACTCACAAGACTAACACGATGATGGCTAGGTGCAGGCATTGACACTTGCTCGTTGTCCGCATAGTCTGGGAGCTTCTCATGTTTAGCATTGATTGTGCGTTCCACGTCGCACTTGAACTCTCTAGCCATGTCATTAGCAAGATCGTCCAGATTTTCGGAGGGCTCGCCTTTAAGACGTGCTAGCATCTCCAAAATTTCTTTTCGCTCTTTTTCCGCTTCTTCGGGCGTTTCTGCCTTCAACTGGATGGTTATACAATGGGATCTCTTCTTTTTCCCTTTATAGCGCATTGGTCTTGGCCCCTTCATTTGTTTTCTCGCGAATTTGCGTGCTGCCTTTCGGGCTGCTCTGGCTCTGGCTGCCAATCCCATCCCATCTCGAAGCATATCAGGGGTAAATCCGGTTATACTGATGGCCACTTCAACGAACTTCTGAAGCTCAGGATGTTTTTCAGACCTATCTTCTCTTGTGCGACTCAGAAGCGTGGCGTGAAGATTTTGCAGATCGGGAGCCTTAGCAACAACACGCGCAAGCATACACGCCTCGCAACGGTTCTCTTGGTAATACCTCGCATGGAAAGGAGGAAGGTCGTGCCTGCTTTTAGGACACCACCACATGCCGGCGATGGAATTAAGAGCGCGCAGCATCTCCTTGACATCGTCTTTGAGATACTCCAGGAACCAGTACAGCTCATCCAAGAACGATGTGACCTCTTTGACCAGTAATTCGAAGAGGCTGTGGATAATCCAGGGATTAAATCCCTTGTGCACCTCACAGAGGACGATCTTGGAGGGGCCGAAGAGCATTCGGAACAAAGCGTTTGCTTGCAGTTGCCATCGAAGAGTCTGAATCCCAGTTTTGATGTTCTTGGACGTTCTGTAGCCTCGATACTGGCCCAGGTACGCGACTTTCGCACGATCCTTTTCGCTATCAATGAGGAGGATCTCAACTATCGAAGTCAGATCCCGCTGGTCGAGCTGAGTGACTGATAACGGATAGATAATACGGTTGCGGCGCTCAACAAGTTTCCTGGGCATAATATCTGACTGGTGAGACATCTGTTTGTAGTGGTGCTTGTTGTGGCACCGTACAGTCGAGGGTCAACCACGATAGGATAAGAATAAGAGATAATGGACTGCTAGAGAACCAGGGGCACTGCTTCACGAAACTGTGGAGGGGCTTATATACTCATTCTACACAATTTAATAGGGAGCTTCTCATTTCGGAGAATGACATTGTCATAATGCACGTTGTTCGGCTTCAGCAACTTTCAACAGTCTGTGCTGTGCCACCTCGCACCTTAAAGCTTGTCCGCCACTTTGAACTCAAATTGCTGAATACATGACTGCTGAACGTGCGGCTGTGGGGTGGTCTCAATGGTGAAACCGCCTCTTTGTACCACCAAACGAATGGCATGAGGAAACTTCCGTGCGCAGACGACCGACAGTAGCATATGGCAAGGCTGTCACCGAGAGAAAGATGTCTCTTCCTCGGGGTTTCCCGTTGCTTCTGGGGTAATGCATGGACGGTGCACTACATTGGGAGTCTTGGGAATCGTGACCTGCATGCTTCATGTTACACCTTGTTCCACTTGAGATGTTGCTGGATGGGGGTTTGTGATCAGAGATGTCTTGAGTTGAGTGACTGGCGCATAGGATACTCTACTTGGGGTGGGAATAGCCTCCCCATAATGAAGAATATAGTGCCTTCGAACGAAAATAGTACTTTTTTCTTTAACCCAACACAGTCAACCCAACTCCTCTTGGGACATACTCAAGTATATGTATTTATCCCAATCCATCTACCATCCACAAATTTCACGGAATTATCCCGCCTAAATTGATAATTATACCTCCCTCCCTACAACACACGAAATATCATGACAATACTATCAAGAGCATCTACCCATGTCCTCCGCAACATCCCCCCTCCTCATCGAGATATACATTAATATGATCTCAACTCCCCCATTTCCGATCAGCCATTGCCAGTACAACACATTCTAAATGCCGTGCCACCACTACAACTGGCCTGTGCCGCCCTGCAGCTTACCCATGTAACACAATACAGCATCACCCACCCCCGTATCCTTACCCTAAGTTGGTTAAATGGGACCCAGAGAGTTTACTTTGCGCTCCCCCCCTCATGCACGAAGGGATGAGAACTAAGCGAAGTTTCACAAAGGCCTCTCCGTGCCATCGGAAGTATGCGGCTGAGTTGCTTGTCGTCGGAAGTTTACGCCGTAAGTGGTACTACCTAGATTATTCTAAATTTTTCGTTATGTTTGGTTGGGGGCGGTACTAGCCTTAGTTGGCTTTTGCTGCTAGGTTAGTTTATGTGGTGGGGGGTTGGATAGGGTCTATTAGTTCTTGGTACTCGAATGTATGTATGTGTGTATGTGTGTGTGCAACGAAATATCTTGGTGTAGTAGTACCTGCTACATATGGTTGAATTAGATAATAGACTAACATGGTACAAGACTTTGACAGGTTGAAATGTCAGAAGATGAATGCAACTCGCTTAAGCAAAATCAGGAATCAACCGCCTCAGCAGCCTTCAACGCAACCACAAACCTCGAAACGAGTTCCTCTGTGTCTTCCACGCCAACACTAACGCGGATCAAATCCGGAGGTACCCCAAATCCACCTGCCCACTCCAACTCCCAGTAATGGGCTAGCAGAACATACGGTGAAGTCAAAGTGAAGTTAGTGCCCAGACTAGGTCCCTTTGCGGTCTCGATGCGATCATAGAACGCGATTGCGTGTTCTTTCTTGTGGAAGAAGAAAGACAGCAGGCCACCATATCCGCCTTCTGGAGTTCGGCAGTCCTCGTAGAATTGCTTCGTTGAGCTATACTTGGGATAGTATACGTCTTTGACGAGAGGGTGGGACTTGAGAAGATCACAGATGGCTTCTGTGGTGTGGTTGATCTTCTTGATTCGGTTGATGAAGTCGCGGCTGTTGCGTTCCATGAATATGATGTCTTCGGCCCAGTAGTTGGTGTTGTCTTTATGGTCTGCTTCGTAGGCTTTCTTCAGCGAGTCGTAGTATCTTCCTTGGGGGTTCAGGATGGCGCTGCCGCCCATGACGTTGCAGTCTCCGGAGAATATCTTGGTGAGACTGCTGACGACCACGTCGGCGTAAGGGAGGACATGGACGTTAATGGAAGTTCCGATCGTGTCGTCGACGACCACGGCAAAGTCGTAGGTGTCAGCTAGCTTTCTAATCCGTTTGAGGTCGGGACATTTTAGGAGAGGGTTTCCGGGGAATTCGCAGAATAGAGCTAGATATTTTTCTCCGGCCTGAAGGCGGGCTTCCAGGTCATCCAGGTCTTCTGATGAACCGTGTCCGTAGAAGATGCATCCAGGGCCGAATTTTTGGAGGATTTTGAGAGTGTCCACGTATGGAAAGCCGAATGATATACTCTTCAGCTGGCCTCTAGACTGGAGTAGCATCCGGTGGGCGCTGAAGATAGCGTTCATTCCACAAGGGTAGAGATATACATCATCCTGGGTCGCTCCGTGGGAGTTAGAGGTTTGCTCGGGCGTTTTCGGTTCGGCAAGATTCACTTCTCCTGTCAAGGAGCCAGCAATGCGTCGACGGAGGGAGATCTTGGCGTTATCAATAAAAGATAAATCAAGATTCCGACCGAACCGATCCTCGAGGAACTGCGTGCTTTCCTGGATCAATGCTGCATCCTTGACTCTTTCTGGGCTGACCTTTTTGTCTGTTGGGGTGGAAGTAAGGTCAACAGAACCTCGCTGGTATCGCCTGGGACCCCTTTTCTGAGGGATCACAGGTTGCGGCGTTACCGCAGGCACGAGCTTGCCGTCCACAAAGAGTGAGTGGCAAAACTCAGCACGTCTGCTTGAGATTCCGTCACCAGAGTGTTGCCAATACTGCTTCGCTACTGGGAAGAGGTCGCTGTGATAGATCACAGCGGATATCGAGGGGGAAATCTTCAATATGATTTCTGAAGACTCTTTCCCCTTATCAAGGGTCAAATCAATTACCTCGACATCTCTGATGAGGTTGGGCTCTCCCTTTTCCTTGATAAAGTCGCGACATCTTTGGGCAGATGCTGGGGAAGGAAACAGCATAGCCTTTTGGTTTGGGCTACCATATCTGGCAATGATAGCATCTGCTAACGCACAAATAGATTTATGAATGAAAAATCTGGCCGTGACATTAGTTTCCATGATTCAAGCGTGGATGCATATACGTTGAACAGTACCGTGGATAGCCTGTTGTCATTTTGTCCACGACTCGTCTATCACCTTCCTCATAACCTACATTGTCCGCCCATGTTGGTAGGGACACGCTCACGGCCTGTGGAAGTGTAAGT